ATGTTATTGAAATTGCTTGATGTTAGTTTCCTTCATAGAAAATATATCCTTCATAGATATATTTTCAAAATACTGAGTTAGTCATGATTATGAAACATTGGAAATATAAATTCCAACTCTCTCTCTCTCTCTTTTTTTTTTTTTTTTTTTTTTTTTTTTTTTTTTTAGTTTTAGCTAGCCAGCATATAGTGCAACATTGGTTTCAGGAGGAGAATTCGGTGATTCATCACTTATATACAACACCCAGTGCTCATCTTGACAAGTGCCCTCTTTAATCCCCATCACCCATCTAGACCATCTCCTACCCACCTCCCTCTGTTAACCCTCAGTTTGTTCTCCATTGTTAAGTGTCTTGCAGTTTGTTTTTTTCTGCTCCTCTCCCCGCCCCCTCATATTTTCATCTATCTTTTTTCTTAAATTCTACAAGTGAAATCATATCATATTTGTCTTTTTCTAATTGACTTATTTTGCTTAGTGTAATACATTCTAGCTCCATCTGTGTTGTTGCAAATGGCAAGATTTCATTCTTTTTGATGGCTGAATAATATTTCAGTGTGTGTGTGTGTGTTTGTATGTGTATGTATATACATGAATGTGTTTCATGTACGTGTACATGCATGTATACACACACACAGCATCATCTTTATCCATTCATCAGTTGGTGGACATCTGGGCTCTTTCCACAGCTTTGCTATTGTTGATAATGCTGCTATAAACATCAGGGTGCATGTACCCTTTGAATTTGTATTTTTGTATCCTTTGGGTAAATACCTAATATGCAAATGCTGAATTGTATTGGTAGATCTGTTTTTAGTTTTTTGAGGAACCTCCATACTGTTCTTCAGAGTGCACCAGTTTGCATTTCCACCAACAGTGCAGGAGGGCTCCCCTTTTTCCACATCTTTGCCAAACACCTGTTTATTGTTAATTTTAGCCATTCTTCCAGGGGTGGTGTGGTATCTCATTGTGGTTTTGATTTGTATTTCCCTGATGATGAGTGATGTTGAGCATCTTTTTATGTGTCTGTTAGCCATCTGGATGTTTTCTTTGGAAAAACGTCTATTCATGTCTTCTGCCCATTTCTTAACTGGATTATTTGCTTTTTGGGTGTTTAGTTTGATAAGTTTTTGTAGATTTTTAATACTAACCCTTTATCAGACATGTCGTTAGCAAATATCTTCTCCCACTCTGTAGGCTGCCTTTTAATTTTGTTCATTGTTTCCTTCTCTGTGCAGAAGGTTTTTATCTTGATGAAGTCCCAATGTTCATTTTTGCTTTTGTTTCCCTTGCCTCTGGTGACATGTCTGATAAGAAGTTTCTCTGGCCGAGATCAAAGAGATTGCTGCCTATTTTCTCCTGTAGGATTTTGTAGTTTCCTATCTTACATTTAGACCTTTCATCCATTTTGAATTTATTTTTGCATATCATATAAGAAGGTGGTCCAGTTTCATTCTTCTGCATCTCGCCCTCCAGTTTTCCCAACACCATTTGTTGAAGAGACTGTCTTCATTCTTTTCTACTTTGTTGAAGATTGGCTGACCGTATAGTTGTGGGTCCATTTCTGGGTTTTCTGTTCTGTGCCACTGATGTACGTGTCTGTTTTTGTGCTGGTGCCATACTGTCTTGATGACTACAGCTTTGTGATGTAACTTGAAGTCTGAAATCGTGATGCCTCTAGCTTTTCTTTTCTTTTTCAGGATTGCTTTGGCTATTCAGGGTCTTTTGTGGTTCCGTACAAATTTTGGGATTGTTTGTTGTAGTTCTGCAGAAAATGCTGGTGGTATTTTGATAGGAATTGCATTAAATGTGTAGATTGCTTTGGGTGGTATAGACATTTTAACACTGTTTTTTTCTTCCAATCCATGAGCATGGAATGTGTTTCCATTTCTTTGTGTCCTCTTGGTTTCTTTCGTGTTTTATAGTTTCCAAGTATAGATCTTCTACTCTTCGGTTAGGTTTACTCCTAGATATCTTACTGTTTTTGGTGCAACTGTAAATGGAATCAATTCCTTGATTTCTTTTTCTATTGCTTTGTTATTGGTGTATAGGGATGCAACAGATTTCTGCATGTTGATTTTGTATCCTGTGACTTTGCTGAATACATCATGTATGAATTCTAGCGATTTTTTGATGGAGTCATTTGGGCTTCCTATATAGAATATCATGTTGTCTGCAAATAGTGAAAGCTTGACTTCCCCCTTGCTGATTTGGATGCTGTGGTCTAATCGCTGAGCCTGAGACTTCCAGTACTATGTTAAATAGTAACGTGAGAGAGGACATCCTTGTCTTGTCCCTGAGGGTAGGGGAAAGGCTCTCAGTTTTTCGCCATTGAGGATGATATTAGCTATGGGTCTTTCAAATATGGCCTTTATGATATTGAGGTGTGTTCCCTGTATCTGGACTTTGTTGAGGCTTTCTATCAAGAATGGATGTTGTACTTTGTCAAATGCTTTTTCTGCATCTATTGACAGGATCTATGGTTCTTATCATTTCTTTTATTAATGTGATATATCATGTTCATTGATTGGGAATATTGACCTACCCTTGCAGCCCAGGAATAAATCACACTTGATCCTGGTGAATAATAATCTTTTAATGTTGTTGAATTCATTTTGCTAGTGTTTTGTTGAGAATTTTTCCATCCATCTTCATCAGGGGTATCAGCCTGTAATTCTTCTTATTAGTGGGGTCTTTGTCTGGTTTTGGAATCATGGTAAAGCTGGATTCATAGAATGAGCTTGGAAGTTTTCCTTTCATTTTTTAATCTTTTGGAACAGTTTGGGAATAGGTATTAACTCTTCTTTAAATGTCTGGCAGAATTTCTCTGGGAAGCCATCTGGCCCGGGACTCCTGTTTGTTGGGAGGTTTTTGATTACTGATTCAATTTCTTGCTGGCTGTGGGTCTGTTGAAATTTTTTATTTCTTCCTATTTCAGTTTTGGTTGTTTGTGGGTTTCTAGGAATCTGCCTTTTTCTTCCAGATTGCCCAGATTGTTGGCATATAATCTTTCGTAGTATTCTTTGATAATTGTTTGTATTTCCGTGGTGTTGGTTGTGATCTTTCCTCTTTCGTTTGTAATTTTATCTCTTTGGTCCTTTCTCTTTTCTTTTTGAGAAATCTGGCAAGGAGTTGATCAATTTTTGTTAATTCTTTCACAGAACCATTTCTTAGTTTTGTTGATCTGTTCTCCTGTTTTGTTTTTGTTGTTGTTGTTCCTATAACATTTAGTTTTGCTCTAATCTTTATTATTTCTCTTCTTCTGCTGGCTTTAGGCTTTCTTTGCTGTTCCTTTTTAGCTCCATTATGTGTAAGGTTAGGTCATGTATTTGCAACCTTTCTTGCTTCTTGAGATAGGCCTGAATTGCAATATATTTCCCTCTTAGGACTGCCTTTCCTGCATCCTAAAGGTTTTGGACTGTCATGTTTTCATTTTCATTTCTTCCATGTATTGTTTTATTCTTTAATATTCTGGTTAACCCATTCATTCTTTAGTGGGATGTTCTTTAACCTCCATGCCTTTGAGGACTTCCAAATTTTTCTTGTGGTTGAATTCAAGTTTCATAGCATTGTGATCTGAAAATATGCATGGTATGATCTCAGTCTTTTTGTATCTGTTGAGAGCTGATTTGTGACCCAGTATGTGATCTGTTCTGGAGAATGTTCCATGTGTACTCAAAAAGAATGTGTATTCTGCTGCTTTCTAAGTCTTTTCTTTTAATACAAGGTTTATAATAGTAGTTGAGTGTTTATAAAGCTGTTATTTAAGTTAATTACTCTTTGATAAAGAGGGTAAATTACCTGTCTTGGTATTGTCAGTCTTTAACAATTAATACTATTGTTTGATTTATTTATTTTAATTTCGAAGCAGTGTTTTTTCCTGATGGAAACTTAAAAATGAAAACTTGTGATTATGTAGTGATTATCATTAGATTTTAAACATTAAAAGACTCTTTCAAATATTACCGACTCTGTTAAATATGCAAGTACTTATTTAGCATTGGATTAGATTTATATAGTGTATCATATGTTAGTTTTTTTGTGATTAAAAGGAAAAAGTCATAGCCATAAAAATGTAAATTTTTATTAGGGATAACAAAATGCAATTCATTTAAAAAATTGCATTTAACTTTTAAACTGGCAGCTAATAGCCACAACTATAAAAATAATGATACCACCACCAAGCTGTAAATAGCTTCCAAACCCTCTCTGAAAAATACATAATCTTGTCATCATGAGTTCTAGTCATATTCTCATCTTCTGACAGATGGTTTATATACTTATAAATGTTATTCTTACAACATTTAAAAGATCTAATTAAGGCAGTTCCTTTTTTATATTCATATGACTATTTGTTTCCTTATATCCTTTAAAACTTTTGCTTTGTTTTTTCTAGCTCTCTTTTTATAACTTGGTGCTATATTCAAATATAATACTTATTTTAACAAGCTAACCAAATTTCCATTTTTTCTTGTCTTTCCTAATACTTGTAAAAACTTTCCATTCTCAGTGTCTTGCCTTCTTATTCTTTCTTTCCTATGAATAGAGTAATAGTTGCCACCTAATGTGAATACTATGTCATATAATGATGACTTTCTATCTCCATGGACTACTCAAAGAGAATTATGTGTTTTTTCTTATTTTTGGGGGGTAAAGACACTTTTCTTTCTTTTTTTAAATCTCCATTATGTTGTACAGTGGTCTCTAGCTTTAAAAAAAATCTTTTGTATTAAATTTCTGTAGACTTTTTCATGATGAAAGAAGATAATGTTTAGTTTCAATGTTTTTGAGTTTAATGAAGGAAAAATGTTTATTATCATACTGTCAAAGAATCTTTGGTATTGGACAATGTACATATCACTATTGACACTCATTTAAAAATATATATTAATTTTTAGGAACATTTTTGTGTGTGGTATATTTAGTCAGGATATCCAAAGCAAATATATACTGTTCTAATTGGATAATTTTTGTCAATGTTTTTCAATAATGTATTCTTTTAGGCTAAAAGGAGTGAGTAAGCAGGTGATGGAATATAGAAAAAGACTAGATGATATTATCTGTTGGTTATCAAAGACTGAGAGTGCTGTGCAAAAGAGATCAACTACTGAGCTGGAAGAAAACCTGCAAGAATTAACAGTAAGTGGTTTATTTGTCTCTATATTTGCCAATGCTTTTTGGTGCATGAACATTTATGCTAAAAATAAGAGGTTGCATGACTGAAGAAGAAAAGGGGAAGAAACTTTGTTCTTTGTGGTAAATGTGGTGAACTTTAGAGGAATTTTTTTTAAGAGCAGCTATAATTTTGTTCTTGCAGAGGTAAGGTTTCACTCATAGAAAAGTGACAGATCATGTGGTCTCAGTATTAGACCAAAGATTTTTAGGGTATTTTAAACAGACTTCAACATTTTGGAATACAATAATACTGTAAAGTGTAGTTCTTTGCTGTTAGATTTAGAAGATAGTTACTGATAACTATCTTTAAAACTGAGTTTTTTAAGAAAATTCTAAATGACTTAGGAGCAACTCATCACAGCTTACTATATAGGCTTCTCATCATGATTGTATTAATCAAATGTCCTTTGTTGATCCACAACTAACAAGAATTTTTTATAGTTATATATGTATGCAATATGTAAAAATATGTAAAGATGAATATATATAAATGTATCCAAATATCCATACTTTTTTATATCTATACATTTTATATATTTTGTGTTAAGAATTAAAATACTGATGGGGCGCCTGGGTGGCGCAGTCGGTTAAGCGTCCGACTTCAGCCAGGTCACGATCTCGCGGTCTGGGAGTTCGAGCCCCGCGTCAGGCTCTGGGCTGATGGCTCGGAGCCTGGAGCCTGTTTCCGATTCTGTGTCTCCCTCTCTCTCTGCCCCTCCCCCGTTCAAGCTCTGTCTCTCTCTGTCCCAAAAATAAATAAACGTTGAAAAAAAAAATAAAAAAATAAAATAAAAAAATAAAATACTGTTGCAAAACAATAAGATTAATGTGCTCATATTTTTATTAAAAAAAAAAAAGAAATTGTTAGGGGCGCCTGGGTGGCTCAGTCGGGTGAACGTCCGACTTCGGCTCAGGTCATGATCTCGTGGTTCATGAGTTCAAGCCCCGCGTCAGCTCTGTGCTGACAGCTTGGAGCCTGGAGCTGCTTCAGATTCTGTGTCTCCCTCTCTCTCAGCCCTTCTCCCGCTTGCCCTCTCTCTTAAAAATAAATAAACATTAAAAAGAAGATTTAAAAGAAATTGTGCATGTTGAAACACACATGTGCATGCATCTAAGTATGCCTAAAAGGATGCCCCCTAATTGGATGAAACATTTTGCTTAAGGAGTATGATTGAGGCATTTTGGGAAAGGAACTTTTAATATAATGAAAAATATGTGGCAAACAATTACTAAGTTTTCTTCTTGTTAGACAAATATCTAACAAAATTGTTCCTGTTTTACCTAAAAATTTCAGTAGTTTTCTTGGAACATTTCACTTTGTAAACAATTTGGGGGCTGTCACAAAGAGTGCGATGGTATATTAGGTTAGGTAGAGATAAGGTAGAGATGAATGCATAAGGTGTTCCTGTGGTTTCTTTCTTTCTTTCTTTTTTTTTTTTTGGCGTTTGATTAGAAAAGACATTATCTTCATTATCTAAGAACAGAATGTGAAACTACCAATGTAAATATGATATAATTTGACCCTGTTAAGAGATGGGGGTAAAGAGGGCCAAAGCACAAGGGCATACAAATGCACCCTGAAAATGTGTGTTCATTCCCATATCAGTTACAGTCTGTTAATATAAGTTCAGAGGCTCCTGGTGGTTCAGTTGGTTAAGTATCCAACTCTTAGTTTTGGCTCAGGTTGTGATCTCCCAGTTTGTGAGTTCAAACCCTGCATCAGACTCTGCGCTGACAGTGTGGAGCCTGCTTAGGATTCTCTCTCTCTCTCTCTCTCTCTCTCTCTCTCTTTCTCCTTCTCTCTGCTCCTCCCCCACCCTCTCAAAATAAACTTAAAAAACCAAACAGTTTGTTAATATAAGTTCAGGCTTTTATAAGTTTGTTTTCTAAGAAAATAAAAGAAATTAGAAATCCACATTTCTTTTTTTTTTTAATGTTTATTTATTTCTGAGACAGAGAGAGGCAGAGCATGAGCGGGGGAGAGGCAGAGAGAGAGGGGGACACAGAATCCGAAGCAGGCTCCAGGCTCTGAGCTGTCAGCACAGAGCCCGATGCGGGGCTCGAACTCACAGACCATGAGATCATGACCTGAGCCGAAGCCGGACGCTTAACCGACTGAGCCACACAGGCGCCCTGAGAAATCCACATTTCTAAGAATATTACCGAAAGAGACTTCTGATACAGTAGTTGAACTTTCCTCGGTATGACAACTTTCTTATGACACTCTCTTCTGACTCCTTTAGGACTTAACCCGGGAGATGGACATCCAAGCTGAAAAACTCAAATGGCTGAATAGAACTGAGTTGGAAGTGCTTTCAGATAAAAGTCTGAGCTTACATGAAAGACAAAAAATTTCAGAAAGCTTAAGAACTGTAAATTCAACGTGGAATAAGGTGTGCATTAAGAATTACTGTGATCCCTTTCTCATGTTTATTGATTTTGTTGTCAAGGAAGTGGGATTATATAACTGTTCTGCTTTTAAAAAGCATACCCAAACATGGGCACGTTTTACTAATGCTTACCAATGTTTGTAATTACTGTTTTTTTTCATCTGTCATGGACAGAAACATATTCTCAGAGAATACTTTTTATTTTACATGGGATATTTTGGTCTAGGGATTTTGGGGTATATACTACATCAAATAATGAATGTTTATTAGAATTAGAAAATAAAATACCATATAAAGTTGTAAATTGTAGATCTTAAAATAGCATCCTGATGTTGCACATGACTTTTCACCTATGTAGGTTTATTTTTAATGATTTTATTCAATCCATTAATTATTTTTAATGATTTATTCTTTTATTCATATATTTACTGGGCTCCAGGCAGAGTATGTGCTAGCCTAGTATATACTAGAAATGACTAAGCTAAGGTCTTTCCCCTCATGTCATTACTTTTTTTGCAGTTAAAACAAATTAAAGGCAGATAAAGTCATAGATTCTATTTATTTTACCCTGGTACATACCATATCAGAGTGTGAGGTCTGTCTGAGACACTGAATGGATGTGTCTCTGCCCCTGGTTTGGATAGATCCCATATCAGTCAATTTTACCCTTCTGGATCCCCTTAAAATGATAGCCATCATTCTATATCTAATGATGCAGGTGCTTTATTGACCTAAATTCTCTAGTTGAGAATTATACCTTGATGAGTCACTGTTACTGATAACTCACACATGTATATCTCTGGCCTTGACCTCTCTCTATGCTCTAGGCTTCCATGTACAATGACCTGTTCAGTATGTTCATTTGGCTGTCCAATGGGTATCTCATACTAACATACAAAATTGAGCTCCTGATCTCCACCTCCTCCCTGTGCTTTACTGTACTTCTCCCACCTCATTTACTGGTAATTACTCATTATTGTTTGGTCAGAATCTTTGGAGTCGGTCTTATGAGTTACATCTTAATTTTAAAAGCTCCAAAACTTGGAGTCACCATTATCAGCTTCTCCTTCAAAATACGTATCTATTTGATAGATGGTTTCCTGGACGGCCAGATTGCTAGATACATGATAAAGCAAATGTAGCAAAATTATAACAATTATAGGTGTTGGGTAGCATGCTGGGTATTCCCTGTACTTTTTTTTCAACTTGTTTTTTAGGTTTGAAGAATGTCATAAATTTGAATGCTTTTCCCTAACCCCATTGCTACGAACTAGTTCTAAGCCACCATCATCTCTTGTCTTGCTTACTACAACGGACTCCTCACTGGAGTCCCTGCTTTCTCCTCTGCCCTTTGCCAATCTCTTCTCAACAAAACAGGGAAGTATTTGTTTAAACATAATTCCAATCAAGTAACTCCTCTGAGCAAAGCCCACTGATGGTTTTCCATCTCACTCGGAATAAAGGCTGCTTCTTACTGTGACTTGTTAGGCCCCTCATGTTCTGGCTTCTTCTTTTCTCTCTGACTTCATCTTCCCGTCTCTCTCCCTTACACTACTCTCCAGACATGTTGGCCCTGTGTCAAACATGCCAGGCACAGCTTTTGCATATTCAGTCAGAGCACACATATGTATTTAACACAAAGGATGTCAGTAGATACTGTGTGGAAGAGGACACAGTGGTTAATTTGGGAGCACTGTGTTAGATAAAGCCAAAAGTTCCTTTATCACTTCACGTTGATTTTACTCTACTTAGGTGAATTATGAGTGTCCAAGGTCAGACAGTACTTACTGTGGAGAGAATTTCAATAAATGTACTTTGGGAAATACTAACCTGGGGCATTTCATTCATTCATGTATTTATTCACTCAGTAGTTTTGACTGGACTCTTGGTGTATGCCAGGCACCATTTTAAGAACTAGGAATATAGCAAAGAGTATGACACTGCTTCTAACCCAAAGAGTTTATTGTTGGTGAGACAAGTAGTCAAATACTTACAACATAGAGGTATCCATGGGGACACAAAGATAGTGCACCTACCTGGCTTTGGGAAGTAATCATGGAAGATTTGGTGGAGATCATATCCATGCTAATTTAGAAAGAATGAATAAGTATGGGTAGATGAAGAATGGGAGAAGGAGCATCACAGGGAGAAGAATCAAAAAAGTGGAAGGGTCTACAGGGGACAGGGAATGAGCACAGTGCATTTGGGTCCTGGAAGTAGCTCAGTGTGCAGCAGGAGAAGAATAAGAGATGCTTGCAGACCCAGATCCTAGAGGCCTCATCATGCCTCAACAAGGAATTCGAGCTCCATCTTGAGAACACTTCATCGCCTTGAGAGCAGTGGATGGGTTTTAATCAGGAGAAAGTCACATCTTGAAAAATCACTCTAGCTTCACTTTAGAGATGGATGGCGTGATCCTAGCAATGGTTGGCCTTAGGATAATATCAGGATATCAAGTAACTCCTCTGAGCAAAGACCAGTGTCCAGATCAGAATCACTGATCTGGAAAGATCAGTTAGAGTCATTAGATCACCTTGGGAAGGGGGTGGCAGGGAAATGGGTGATGAATTCAGATTTGGACATGTCTGAATATCCAATTGACAGAATGAGCTGGACTGAAGATACATTTTTCGGAGTTGTCAGCCTGTTAAAACTCCACATGATAAATGAAACCATTAGAAACCAGAACTCAGGGAGAGAAGCCAGGGTCAAGGGTAGGAAGACCAAAAAAACCTACCCTATAGAGTGTCAGTATTTGATGGACGGGCAGAGGAGAATGAGCTGGTGAAGGATGCTTAGAAGATCGATCAGAGAGGTAGGTGTAAAGTCAGGATTGCAGAATATTAACAGTATTCCGGGGAGGGGAGGGGACAACATTAAATGTTACAAAGGACTAGGACAGCTAAGGACTGGAGGGTACTCTTGACAGTAATGTCAGTAAAGTGGGGGCTTTGGCAAGACTGCAGTGGATGTGAGGGTGGAGACAGAAGCTCAGGCGTTGAGGGGGAAGAAAAGCAGCAGAACTATCACTTAGAATAACACTTCCTCTTTCAAAAATATAATCATCTTTATTTATATAGTATTCTTCTCTTTGTTTGGCCTGATGCTGTAGATATGCAGAGAAGTGCCTACCACATTGAAGGAACGCATCCAGGAACCCAGTTCTGTGTCTCAGACAAGAATGGCTGGTAAGATACAGTTTATTTCTTAACAAAAAAATTTTTTATAGGCATAACAAAATTTTATAATTTTAAGCATCCTATGGGAGTTAGAAAAACTTACTTAAAAACACAGTGCAGTGGTGACTTATTATTCTACTTTTCAGTTACTTGAAAAGAATGTCTTTTTTAAAACAAGATATATTTCACTGTCCAGCATGTGCAAGGCATTCCTTGCCATGGTAGCTGAGACTTATTTCCTGGGACTGGAGTGGGATCTGGGCCTCCACAGAGGCTGCTGAAGGCCAGGGGAGAACAAGGTGAGGAAATTGAGGAATAGTTTTCTGGAGATGTGCAGTCTTTTCAGGACATCAGCCACAACCTGCTGTGTTAACATATTCTGGGGTCGTATAATTAGACACTGATCAGGACTGGAAACAGAAAGTTTGAATATTCTTGGAACCAGGTGGGAGATGGGGATTTAGAAGAGTTCTCCATCCCAGTGAAGATACGCACTGACAAGTGCTGATCACTGAGATTTGGAGAAAGAAGAGTCTGGTCACTGGTTATTTCCTTCTCTCCTTGTCCAGAGTAGAGGGTGGGCTACTGCACAGAGGTCACCCCAGTCACTGCTCATCACTGCCTTGCAGGCTCATTGAAACCATCTCACCCTGCTCTGCCTCTGCCGAGTCACCAGGCAAACCCCCAAGTGTGATTAACCCTAACTTTCCACTTACTCTGTGCCAGCTGTGGTGGTGCTGCTGATTCTCCCCTTCCTCCTCTTCTTCCACTCCCCCCACCACTCCCCTCCCCTCCTTTTCCTCCTCTCTCTCTTCCTGCCTTCTTCCCTTCCTTTGTATTCCTCCACCCTGCCTCACGCATCCTCCTTCTCTTCCTCCCCCTCCTCCCTCCTCCCCTCCTCTCCTCTGTCCCCTCCACCTTCTGTTTCTCCTTAGGATTCTGGAAAAGTATGAGTGGTGAAACTTTTAAGAAAACTTATTTGAAATCGCAGGCTTGTTGAGGGCCCAGTTTGTGTTGTGTTCTACTTGTATTTCCCAGTACCTTACACAAGAAGTACCTGGGGCCTGGTCGGTCCATTGATTACATTCAAAACACTTGAATTAACATTTGAGTATTGCTGCCTTGCAAATACAAACTCAACCCCATAAGGACAGGAAACAGACTTGATGCATTTTAGGAAAGGGCAATAGGCTATCTTACCTTTTTAAATGTCCTTATGACAAAGGAACAGAGAAAGTTTTCATACACAACATTTTAATACACATTTAGTAGAAGAGCTAATAGCAGAAGTACACCTTCCAGTAGGTGGGCAGTTCATTCTTAATAAGACATTCGTCCCTGGAACAGGTATGAGACCTGAAATTTATTTCAGTGTGTCCCTCTCGTCCTACATGGTGTTTTTTTTTAACTCCATTTCTTCTTCTTTTTATTATATTCAAAAAATAAAATTAACCATTTCAATGTGAACAATCCAGTGACATTTGGATTGACATGTGAATACATTCACAGTATTGTGCAACCACCACCTCTGTCTGGTTCCAAAATACTTCCATCATTCCAAAGTAAAATCTCTTACTCATTTAGCTGTTTCTCCCCATTCCATTCTACCCCCAGGCAGTGGCAACCACCAATCGCTGTGTCTCCATGGATCATCTATTCTGGGTATTTCTCATAAACGGAATCAGACTGTGTTTCTTTCACTTGGCATGTTGTTTTCGTGGTTCATCCATGCCAGCTTCCCTTGCTGACCACGCTCGTGGGTACTCAGCACTCACAGACAATCCTACTGCACTTTCTTCTGAGCTCCCCTGGCTGCCCATCTCTCCACTCATGACCTCTTCTCATTTTTAAAAGATGAAATACGTTTTGCCCAACAAGATCTTCTTTTTCCCATCAGAGAGAATCCCTGTACGTAGGTTTCTCTACATCTGTGCTCACAAACTGTGCGTGCTTCCCACTTCCCTGGAGGATTTATCTCTCTTCTTTCTGAGATCACGTCCTCCCCTTGTGCTTTGCATCACATCTTCTCTTGGCTTTTTACTTACCCTCTTTCTCTCTTCTTTACTGGACCATTCTTGCTGGCATACGTTTTGATGCATACAGCTCTGGTCAGTGCATTTTCAACGACATGTAGTACTCCATGCACAGATCCACTGCAGTCCTCAGAACCCTCTCCTTTAGTATGCTCACTGGTCCCATGGCTTTAGCCACTTTTTAACTTTGGATAGCCTGGCCAGTGCTTAGGCCAATACACTTGAAGTCACCCTTGACTTTTCTCTGGAGTTAAGATCTAATTATTCAGCAAATTGTCATCCCCATGTCTCATCCCAACTACTTCCCTGGTCTTGAACACCCTCATCTTTCATCTGTTACAGGAATAATCTCCTAACTCACTGTCCTGATTCTCTTCTTGCCTTACCACTCTTCCATAATCTATTCTGCTAGCAGCTAAGTCATGCTTTACAAACATAGGTTTCATTGTGTCCCTTGTGGCTCATAATCTTGTTATATCTTTTGTCATCCATAAATGAGTGCTAAAGTCTTACCTGGTCCAGAAGACCGTGTGTGATCTGCCTGCTGCCCCCCTTTCTAATCGCATTTCTTACCACTTTTCCCTTTGTTTGTTCTATTTCAAACACATTGGTCTGCTTGCTATTGCTAACATGCTGAGAACATTTCCATTTATGGCTCGTGTGCTTGCTGCTGCTTCTTTCCTTCTTCTTCCAGGGCCCTTCTTTCAGATACCTGCCTGATTCACACACTCCATTCAGTTCTTTCCTCAGATGCTACCTCAGGCCTTTCCTGACCCTGACCACCATTTCTCAAATACATCCCATCTCTCTCCCATCTTCTTGCATTAGTTTTACTTCACAACATCTGTCTATTCCACTAGCGTGCAGGCCCCCCGAGGGCAGGACCTTTGTCTCGCACATACTCCCATACTCGTAGCATCTAGAACAGTGCTTGCACGTAGTAGGTCCCTCTGAGGTCCTTGGTGATTTGAAACGATGGGTGAATATTGAGGTTGTTTCAGTGTTTTGAAAGCAACAGTGAGGATTGGGCAGAATGTTACGTGAGGTATTCTCTAGGGTCTGTCGTGGTAGAATTGCTGGGTCATAGAAGATGAACAACTTCTACTTCACTAGATGTTGTCTAGACAGCCTGTTCCGGTTCACACTGCCGCCAGCCACGGGAGGGCTCTCATTGTTTTACATGTTACTGCCACTTCAGCATTATATTCTCGGGACTCCTTTACACTTTTAAAAATTATTGAAGACACTCAAAGTGGGAGTTATGTTTATAAATATTTACCTAATTAAAAAACCCAGAAATTTGAAGCATTACTTATTAATTTGTCTAAAATAGCAATAATGAATCTATTATGTTAGCAAAAACAGCATGTTTTTGTAAATATTAATATTATAAACTAATTTTTCCAAGACAAAAACAAATTGAACTACAGAGTGACATTGCTTTACACTTTTGAAAATCCTTCGTTTCTGGATCTGAGAGGACATCTGGATTCTCATTGCCACTTCTGCGATTAGTTTGTTGTGGAGCCACACGTGATGCATGTAGTCTTGAGTGCAAAACCCCTCTACACTCAGGAAGGAATGACTGTGAAAAGGCAAATCACTTATGATAATCCTAATTTGGAAGGGTTTCTGGGCACCCAGAGCTCCCCAGACGTTATGTTGTGAACCTGTGACAGATAGAGATCGGGCATTTCATTTCAGTTTGCATTTTTTTCAGTTGCCTGTGTGATTGAGCCTTTTTCATGTTTATTTCTTTCTTGCTTCCTCTTTTGTAGATTGTCTGATTGATACTTTTGGAGTTTAAAAAATTATTTTGGGAGTGCCTGGGTGGCTCAGTCGGTTAAGAGTCCCGACTCTTGATTTTTGGCTCGGGTCATGATCTCACAGTTGGTGGGATAGAGCCTTGTGTGGGGCTCTGCACTGCTTGGGATTCTCTCTCCTCTCTCTGCTTCTCCCCTGCTCCTATGGTGCATGCATGTGTATGCGTGCACTCTTTCTCAAAATAAACTATTTTGGTTACGAATTCCTTGTTTAGAGTGTACATTGCAAATATCCTGTCCCTTAGTCTGTGGCTTTTTTTTTTAATGTTTATTTATTTTTGAGAGACAGAGACACAGAGCATGAGTGGAGGAGTGACAGAGAGAGAGGGAGACACAGAATCCGAAGCAGGCTCCATGCTCTGAGCTGTAAGCATAGAGCCCAACGTGGGGCTCAAACCCACAAACTGTGAGATCATGACCTGAGCTGAAGTCGGATGCTTAACTGACTGAGCCACCCAGGTGCCTCTATGGCTTCTAATATTTTTATTAGTGGTGCTATTTTCAGAATTCTTAAACATTAATGGTCTATCAATAGCTTCCCCTTTTTGTGTGTTTTTAGAGCATTTTTAGTACTCTAAAATTGGAAAGCTTCTTTTTTTTATATTTTCAACTGATGGTTGTACAGTTTTGATTTTCATATTCAGGTTCTTAATCCACCAAGAACTAATTTCCCCAAGGTGCATGTGAGGTCAAATTCTGTCCCATCATCTCTTCGCTCCAGCCATGGGTGTCCACTCTTGCCAGCATAGCATCATTTATTGGCCAGTAAATTCCTCCTCATTGATCTTTAATGCAGTCTCTGCCAAGGTCAGGTTTCTCTGCCACCTATGCACTGTGGCTCGTCTCTTCCAGTGGTCTCTTTGGATGTCTGGGTCCATAAAATACTGAGTTAATCATTAATTATTAGCTAAGTGATACAACTAAATATCTGGTAGGGCATAACCCCCCACCTGTTTTGACTGTGGTCCTTTTCTTTTTTTTATTTCTTTTCTTTTTTTTATTAAAATTTTTTTTAATGTTTATCTTTGAAGGAAAGAGAGAGCGTGAGTGGGGGAGGGGCAGAGAGAGAGGGAGACACAGAATCTGAAACAGACTCCAGGCTCTGAGCTGTCAACACAGAGCCTGACAGGAGGCTCGAACCCACAAAACGCGAGATCATGACCTGAGCTGAAGTTGGTCGCCCAACTGGCTGAGCCACCCAGGCACCCAACTGTGGTCCTTTTCTATATTGATTTAAAAATCTGATTGTGAATATATGATTTTGCCAAGTTACACGTAGACTTGTTGGGATTTTTATTAGAATTATGCTTAATGTATAGATTGACTATTTTTTTTTTAGAAAAAAATTTAAGCCTCATCTAATATACCGTATGCTAACGTGGATTTCAGATGGAGCTAATAGTTAATTCTTTTATCAACACTAAAGAAAAATAATAACCAACCTCTCATTATTAAAAACAAAGCAAGACGGGATGCCTGGGTGGCTCAGTCGGTTGAGCGTCTGACTTCGGCTCAGGTCATGATCTCACAGTTTGTGAGTTCGAACCCCTCATCGGGCTCTGTGCTGACAGCTCAGAGCCTGGAGCCTGCTTTGGATTCTGTGTCTCCCTCTGTCTGCCCCTTCCGTGCTCATGGTCTGACTGTCTCTGTCTCTCAAAAATGAATAAACATTAAAAAAAAAAATTAAAAACAAAGCAAGACAAAAACAGAAAAGCAAACAAAAAATAGAGAAAATATTTATCAAATCTTTGGAAAAGACAAGAGTGTAACTGTAAACGTTCTGGGAAAACAATCCCCCAAGACAAATTTATGGATTTGATAAAAAAAAATTGAATCCTGAAGTAGAAACATTGCTTTCAGCAACATGGCAAATGTTCATCTTTCCTATAAAAAGAATTCATCTAAACTGATAAGGAAGCAGATAAAGAACACAGTTATAAATTATCCCATATTTTAGTAAACATAAAAAAATACTTGCATTCATTGACAGTCAAAGAAGCATTAAATGAAGACAATGGTGAAAGATATATTTATCCATTGAAATAGGATATTGTTGGTGTGGACATAGGATTTTTGTCAGTTCCATACACTGCTGCTAGAAGTCTAAATTTCTAACCATTTTTTTTTATGTTTATTCATTTTTGAGAGAGACAGAGTGCAAGCTGGGGAGGGACAGAGAGAGAGGGAGACACAGAATCCAAAGCAGGTTCCAGGCTCTGAGCTGTCAGCACAGAATATGATGTAGTACTTGTACTCACGAATTGTGAGATCATGACTTGAGCTGAACTCGGACGCTTAACCAACTGAGCCACCCAGGTGCCCCTAAATTTCTAACTTTTAAGCAAAACAATTTGGCAGTAAGTCTTAGATACATTAAACTTTTTCATATTTTCTGATCTCGTAATTCTACTTTGGGAAATTTATACTAAGGTGGTAATCACAAATGTGCAAAAATACATAAAAAGATAACCCTTGCAAGTTCTTTTTTAAAGTAAAATTTCAGGAGCAATTTAAGTATCCAGCTGCAGAAGGGTTAACTAAAAGTTAGTGAATATATTCTGTGTAGATAGTGAATATATATACTAAGTACATAGTGTTGTACTTAGTATGTATATTTTCTCTTATATACATATATACATACATAAGAATATATACTTATGTAGATCAGTACATGAGTAAGTATTCATGATGAGTTTGTAGCTGGGGCCCAGAGGTGCTTCACCTGGTTCTGGTGGTCCCAGACAGACCAGGTTTGGCCACTTGCGACTGATAGAATCCAAAGGCAGAGAGAGGAGTGGTGGAGAAAAAAGAAAGGAATTTCTTTCAGTAAGGCCAATACCGGGAAGACCGCGGACTAGTATCTCGAAGAGTTTCCAAAGTGCTGAAAATATGTCTAGGTTTAGGTAAGGAAAAGGTGGGACAAGGGTCAGTGATTATGTGCAGGTGGGCGGTGAAGGTCAGGTCCATCATTGTCCTGGAGTCCATCACATGGGGTCTTGCTGGCTCAGGGCATTCCTTGTTGCTTGAGGGGTACTTTCGGTTCCCCTCTTGGGATGCTTTGCCTGCAGGGTCTTTTGCCTGAGTTCAGAGATAAGCTGGAAAGAAGAACTTAGTCAATGAGAAAGTTTGAAGTAAAAAGGGAAGTACTCAAAGACTTCTTTCAGTTTTATTAAGAATGACTAATACTATAAAGTTAATTGGAAAAGAATAGAAAATTAGAATAAATTGACTTTACAAATTGAGGCAAACATCTTGACAAAATAAAGTAGCAGTCCTAATTTTCCTATAGTTGATTTACTTTTTATTTTATTTTCTCTTGGTGTCAGTGTGAGTTCCTTCTAACTTACTGCTGCCCTAGACTATTGTGGGACAGTTTAATTGGCTTTATGGCTACCACGGACATATGGATTCGACAGGAAATACCACTGTCATTTTTAGGATGAAAAAATAAAAACGTCTTACAGTTTTTTTTTACTTAAACTAAATTTTATGTAAACACACACACAAATCACCACTAGGCCACCACAGTCAGAATCTCCTGTTGATGTATTAATACTTTGCCACATTTTTAAATTTCAGCTCATCCTAATGTCCAAAAGGTGGTGCTAGAATCATCTGCGTCCGATATTCCTGTTCTGTCTCCTCGTACTTCGGAAATTTCAATTCCTGCTGATCTGGATAAAACCATAACAGAACTAGCTGACTGGCTGGTCCTGATCGACCAGATGTTGAAATCCAACATTGTCACTGTCGGGGATGTAGAAGAGATCAATAAGACAGTTTCCCGAATGAAAGTAAGTACATAATGTAAAGGCTTGTCATGGAAATACCACACACAGAAGCAGACAAGATCTGTTTGGAGCTCCTTTGTTTGTCCTAAACCCTGGGAGAATGAGCTTTAAAAAACTCTCTATCTGTCAAACAGCCATGCTGTTTGGCTAGCTCCAAAGAGAAAATTGTTTCTTGCATTTTTAGTGTTTTTGTAAGATGAGGTTTACCAACTTGAAGTGTAGACTCAGTGTATTTTATTTGTATTTAAATTTTTTTTTTAATATTTATTTTGAAAGGGAGAGAGAGAGAGTGCACATGTACTCATGGAAGCATGTGGGGAAAGGGCAGAGAGAGAGAGAGAGAGGAAGAGAGAGAATTCCAAGCAGGTTCTGCACTGTCAGTCCAGAGCCCCATGTGGGGCTCAATCTCACAAACTGTGAGATCATAATCTGAGCCAAAATCAAGAGTTGGACGCTTAACTGACTGAGCCATCCAGCCACGCCTGGACTCAGTGTATTTTAAAATCTAAAACTGATACCTTAAAGGGAGACACATCAATACAAATGTAAACTAGTGTTAGATTTAATGCCTACTGTGATGTAGGATATTTTCCTAAAGCCCCTTTTTACTTTATATTTTGTAATGAGCTTCTGACTTCAGAAGTGAGAATCTCATGCCTAGAAATTTGTTACCATGCATATACCATCTAACATAAATTTTCAGTATTCATAGTGTGCTAGTTTCTGGGCTGTGTGTTATATAGGGATACTGAAAAGGACATACCAGGTAGAAATTGGCAATGTACCATAAAATAATAACAATAGCTATTGCTAACTTTTATTAGGTGCTTAAAATGTGCTGGGCAGTTTAGGAAGTATTTCACATGTATCATCTCCTTCACTTTTTTAACAGTCTTTTGAGGTAGGTATTGATTTTATCCCCAGACTACAAATATGTCCAAAGTGAGGCGGAGGCACTGGGTACACGTAAGTAGAGACGTTGCTCCAGCAAGGCAGAATCTGATAGAAGCCATAGCATAGCTATAAGCCACCTGTTAGGGGAGCCAGGATGAGGAAGGAGATTACTTCACAATGGTGGAAAACGTACTGTGTGGGATTTTGACATCTGGAGATAAAGTAAATGGCATTCCTGATACAGGGAACAGAGTGAATAAGGACATGAGGTAGGGGAGCGTGAGGGACATTGGGTCAACATTGGTGCAGGAAAGAAGTGTAGTGGGCGGTCAGATAGCAAAGGCAGGTTCAAGTTCACTTTGGGAGCGAGCTCCTAGACCGTGCAAAGCCCGTTGGGCTTTTGGTCTGTGAGCAGTTCTTTTTACCCCTTTTCTTTTTCTTTTTTAATTGTGGCTGAGGACTGATGATAATAGAGTGCTGCTTTGGTAAGAAGACTGGGATGTTCTTAGTGCTTAGGATAAATTGGAGGCAAGAGATACTTAAAGCAAGCACAAGAGCCCTTTCCAAGTGGCTAAGATGATGCTATTGCAATTAACGGAAATAAGGAATAGAAGAAATGGAACGTGGATGAGGGTTTGATTGATTTAGTTTCAGATATGTTGTGTTGAGAGGTTCTTAGGCCAATTAGAAGGAAATAATCAGCATTCATTGAAATGTTTCTCTGGGATTCAGGATTAGAAGTTGTGCATAATCCATTTCAAGATAATATTTGACACTATCAGGCTAATTGAAATCTGAAAAATTAGTGAATTTATAAAGAGGAAGAGCTGGGAGAGAATCTTTGCCACACTATTTGTACTTACTGGAAATTGTGTTTTCTAATCTTTATGGCTTTTTTTTGTTCTAGGTTGGGAACACTATATTCCTCATATTTTAAACCTTTTGCCCCTATTTATCAGTACTGAGATAAATCCCCTGCAGCAGCATTTTTCACGTCTGCATGCATTTAATTCGCAGTTATCCCAATAGCCTTTTTTTACTGTCTCACCCCAGCCCTGCAGGTGACATTAGTTTATATTCATATCTGATGTAGGACAGATATGCAGGGTATCATCAACAGAAGTCCCTGCTAATGTTTTCAGACCATATTTTTTTCATAGGGATTTTCTTCACTGAATCTGCTCAGACTTCATATAGCTGAGCTGTACGATTTTTATTATTTATTTTTGTGAAAACTACAACACAGACAGAGAGTTAAGTGCTTTGCCAAGCGACCTAGATGATAAGTGGCAGAGCTGAGATTTAAACCCAGGACCCTTGCCTTCCAACCTCTCTTTCTCTGCTAGACTGCTTGCTGATGCCTCGCTGTAGGAGGAAAACGACAATTCTGATGTCAGCACGCTGGTTTTGCTTTGTTAGTAGTGCTCTTATGGTACGGCTTATGACCTATCTTAATAATCATGCGTTCTTAACAGATCACGAAGGCTGACTTAGAGCAACGCCATCCTCAGCTTGATTGTGTTTTCACATTGGCACAGAATTTGAAAAATAAAGCTTCTAGTTCAGATGTGAGAACAGCAATCACAGAAAAATGTAAGTTTTTTTTTTAAATGATATATTACCCACTTTCCCTGAAAATGGTAACACACACACATACACATTTTCATGGATTATTTACCCAGAAATTAATATTATTTGATATTTGATAGTATTTATTAAATATTATAGTTTTGCTTCCATTTTTATTTTTTGTGAACATTATTATGATTCCCTTATGAATTCCTTAAAGTGTTAACCTTATCAATGTTCTAAACATTTATTTCTTAATGTTTATTTATTTTGAGAGAGAGAGAGAGAGAGCAGGGGAGGGGCAGAGAGAGAGGGAGAAAGAGGATCACAAGCGGGCTTTGTGCTGTCAGTGCAGAGCCCATGTGGGGCTCGAACTCATGAAGCATGAGATCATGACCTGAGCCGAAATCAAGAGTCAGACACTTAACCGACCGAACCGCCCAGGCACCCCTAACCTTATTACTTTTAATTACTGGCACATTGGATTTTGTTCCTTTTATAAGTTAGGATTTCTTTTAAAGGAATCAAAAAAGAAAAGTTAGAGAAAACCATCAGAATGCAAAACCATGCTTTCATTATAATTTATTTAGTAAAACCAGATCTTGCTTTGTCTCTTTAACTCCTCTTCTTCAAATGCATTCCAAAAAGAATTTATTGAGCAACCACCATGTACCTGTGGGCCGTTTACTAATTTGGGAATAATTTAGTTAAAAGCAAAATAAAACAAAACAAAAAATAAACATACAAACACCACAGCAAAGATCCCTGTTTCATTTGCTTTCTGGCTTAAAATAAGCATCTGTGAAATCTGTAGAGCATATAAAACAGTCTAAATTCTCAAGAATGTCATGTAGGGATAGTCACTGTCTGCTTTCATCATCCCCTCTCCCATACCACCTTCCACCCACTGTAACTATTCCATATTGTAGATATTCTTTAAAACATCCTGGAAGTTCCTAGTCTCCTTGCCTTTATTCACATTATTACTATTATTTTTTTCCTCTCGGCCTTTTCTTCCCCAGTGAAATTCTATGCAGCAGCTAAAATGTCACCCCCTATGTGATGTCTTCCCTACCCTCTGGTAGTCCCTGGAGAACTGTATTTTCTATCTTTAGTTTCTGCTGTGGCCTTTTGCCTGATAATGTCCTTGTAGATCTCACAATTATTTTAATTCTCTCTCCTTTCCATAGACAGTAAATATTCATCTTTCTGGCCCTGGGCCTCCTACAGTGTTCAATACAAAGTAAGGACTTCATAAATATTTGGGGCAGAACATAAACTGAAAGTTACTTTATTACCTTGTCTAATATTTTCTGAGGCAAAGCAAGTCAACGCTTCCTCCCATGAAAAGTGTGTTTTGAATTCAAAATAAACGTGGCTGCGGCAACATTATTGGAACAGAGGAGTTAGCAGAGAACTTTGTCACAGTGTTGGTTTATTTTTACTGCATAAGCCATTTTCTTTCTTTCTCCATGTTTGTTTGTTTGTTTGTTTGTTTGTTTTTTCTTTTTTTTCCCAATTGATGGATTGCTCAGGTCTCTGTTGAAACTCTGGAGTGATCTCGTTTCCTATCACGTGGCAGGAGAGCTTCTCTGCTTCAGTGACCCCAAACTATTTACAAAGTCTTCTCCATTTTGCTTTATCCACATCTTATGTTTCCCCCACCCCCTCCTATTTGTCCACTGTTTCTTTTAAGGTTGTTTGACAAGACTTTTCTCTTTCTGAGTAGCTTCCCTTTCTAATTTAACTCCCTCTCTTTGTTTTTTTCTCCTTTTTTTTAATTTGCATAGAGCCTACATGATCTTTGTCATTATTCATTCTATGGAAAAAAAAAAGCTCAGTAGGAGTGTACTGCCTATAATAACCTGCTTTTAACACTTATTCACAAAGAATAGAACAATTTGCTTAATGATAAACCTGTGATATTTGCTGTCACTTGATGTCTTTCATGTTATTTGTTCACTATTAAAGGATTCTATTAGTAATAGAGTTGATCATAAGTACTTTATGTAACTTTTTAACTGACAAGTAGAACATTATGATGAATTTGTTCTCTCTTGAAGTAAAAAACTTAGGCAATTTATTTAAACTGTTAAAGAAGACAGCTTAAAACAGATAATTTCATTGAACAATTTTTAGAAATTATTAAACGTAAGTATAATTTCCAGTTTTCTGAACACTATTAAAAATGATAGCTCTTATGGCTTGCTGTAACCCTGTTATCCCAAGAAATTTTACCAGAAGGTCCCATTATGCCTTAACTGCAATATTATTTTGTGGTTAAGCTCTTGTAGGCCTGGTATTTAACCAGAGTGCTCTGCACTCTGTGTGACATCCAAAGCATCTTCTAGACATTTTTGATGTCCCACCTACTTACGATCAATGGGTTGTTGAAGTTATTCGAAGCTACTGTTTACTAGTGCCTCAGTTCAAGGTCATGAACTACCCATAAAGTAATTCATCAAAAGTTTGTTTCATTAGATCTCTCTTTCCTTAGTCCCTTGTTAAAAATGAGAAGAGGAGAGAGGGTAGGGGAGAAAAAGGGTGGAGAACAGACAGAGGAGAAAAAGAAATAGAAAGAGATATTAAAAAAGAAAGAGGACAAGATCTAGTGTCAATTTTGTTATGGTAAAGAGCTACTGGGGACATAGAACTTGAATCTAATTTGCTCTTGGTGTTTTCTTGAACATATAAAAATACTTTCTTTCATGCTACAGTAAAACAAATATGAAAAGTATTCTTAAATAGATTATTTCCTTTCAAAATCCTGACAGCCTTAGAGCATCTCCTTTGAAGATGACAAGTGACTACATCTGTGTCTTACAGTTCTGTCATAGAGTATTGTTAAACTCTACCTTTATTAAACCAGATTCTGTGAATATAAATTAGATAGGAATTTACTTTCTTTAAAATTTTTGGTTTATCCATTTAAAATAGTTGTTATTTTTATTGTGAGCTATTTCAGTGCATTAAAAATAGAATTTATTTATTTTATTTATTTTTAAACAAAAGTTTTTAATGTTTTTATTTATTCTTTTTTTATTTAAAAAAATTTTTTTTAATGTTTATTTATTTTTGAGACAGAAACAGAGCATGAATGGGGGGAGGGCCAGAGAGAGAGGGAGACACAGAATCAGAAGCAGGCTCCAGGTTCTGAGCTGTCAGCACAGAGCCTGATGCAGGGCTTGAACTCATGGACTGCAAGATCACGGCCTGAGCCAAAGTCGGACGCTTAACCGACTGAGCCACCCAGGCGCCCCTGTTTTTATTTATTCTTGAGAGAGAGAGAGAGACAGAGCGTGAGCAAGGAAGGGGCAGAGAGGTAGACGCAGAATCCAAAGCAGGCTCCAGGCTCTGAGCTGTCAGCTCAGAGCCCAACGTGGGGCTCGAACTCACAAGCCATGAGATCATGACCTGAGCTGAAGTTGGACGTTCAACCAACTGAGCCACCCAGGCACCCCATTTAAAATAGAATTTAGAGGGGCACCTGGGTGTCTTAGTCGGTTAAGCGTCCAACTCTTGATTTTGGCTCAGGTCATGATCTCACAGTTTGTGAGTTCGAGCCCTTCATCGGGCTCTGAGCTGACAGAGTGGAGCCTGCTTGGGATTCCCTCTGTCTGCCCCTCCCCAGCTGTCTTTCTCTCTCTCTCTCTCTCTCTCTCAAAATAAATTTAGAAAAAGATTTAAAAATAAATAAGTAAATAAATAAATAAAATAGAATTTAGGGGCACCTGGGTGCCTCAGTCGGTTGTGTCTGACTCTTGATATTGGTTCAGGTCATGATCTCATGGTTCATGGGATTGAGCCCTACATTGGGCTCTGTGCTGACAGTGTGGAGCCTGCTTGGGATTCTCTCTCTCTCTCTCTCTCTGCCCCTCCCTCACTCTCTCTGTCTCTCTCAAAAATAAATAAATAAACTTAAAAAAATTCCCCTAAGATGTATGTACCAATTTGCCTTCTTTTTCTTTTCTATTTATAACCTTACTTATGATAGACTTGGTATCAGGTATTTTTCCCCTTTACTGAAAGTTACTTTCTGGGATTATTTTTATAATGTCTCCTCCAGTGGAAAAGGTCAAGAACCAGTGGGATAGCACTCAGCATGGTGTCGAGTTAAGACAGCAGCAGCTGGAGGACATGATTATCGACAGTCTTCAGTGGGATGATCACAGGGAAGAAACCGAGGAGCTCATGAGAAAATATGAGGCTCGACTCTACATTCTCCAACAAGCTCGAAGGGATCCACTCATCAAGCAAATTTCTGATAATCAAGTGAGACTCATAGATTTTTTTTTTTTTTGCATTATCAGTTTGTTGGATGCACTTTTTTGTTCCATCATGAACTGTAATTTTGGGGACCCTTGTCATGATGTTTTCACAAGTGCTTAGAATATACATCTAAATTTATATTAAAAAATTTGACCAGGAAGGTTTTTGAAAAAAATTGGAAGGCATAACAGATAGAAATGTACCTGTATGCCAGATTTATCTCTCACTGATTCTTTGCAAATGGAACACAACCATGAACCAGCATCTAGAAAGATAGGAACCCTCCTCCTTTTACTCCCTTCCATGTCTACCCTGAAGGTTATTTTTATTTATGAAATTCTCTGAGATCTTCATTTGAGGCTACCATAGTGACCAAATCAGGTAACAAGTGTAGTTTCTTTCAGTACCTTTATAACCAACTGTTTTATCTATATCATAAGAATAGGTGACTTTTTGTGATTGGTTTGAATATAAAGTTGACAACATCGAACATTAATGGTATTTTTAAAGTGCTATTTTGTATTCTCTCTATAATTATAGAAAATATTTGGGGCACCTGGGTAGCTCAGTGTGTTAAGTGTCCACCTCTTGGTTTTGGTTCAGGTCATGATTTCACTGTTTGTGAGGTCAAGCCCTGCATCAGACTCTGCACTAATAGCCTGGAACCTGCTTGGGATTCTCTCTCTCCCTCTCTCTGCCCCTCCCCCCCACTCACGCCTACTCCCTCTCTCTCTCAAAAATAAGTAAATAAACATTTTTAAAAAAGAAAATATTCTTGGATTGGAGGTTATAGGTGTTAGGTTATATTTTGGTATAATGTTTCTTTGCCCTTCAGGTAACTTAAGATGACAGTGTACATTTGTGAAGAATATAATAAAGATATAATAAAGAATATGTGGGAAAGAAAATATAAAACCTGAGAACATGTATTTATTCTTCACACTTGTAGACTTTCCACAGTTACAATTTAGAAGTCAAGTGGCTGGGTGTCCTGATTTTGTGGATGGTTTTGTGTGTTTATGATATCTGCAGATTATTTTAATTAAATGACTCAAGTATAATAGTCAGCAAAGCTGACTGAAATAAAATAAAAAGTGATACCAATGCTTCAATCAGCAGATATTAAAAATATTCCTTTCTAAACAATAGTGTGGCTCTTTTCTGCTTCAACTTTAGGGTGATTTTTTTTGCCAGTTGCTATAAAAAGCATTATAGGAACATTCCTCTGTCATTGGATTTCATGGGGAGTATCTAGATCCGGGGGTTCTGAGAGGTGGAAACCCAGTGCATGTGGACACACTCTGCATCCGTGTAGTTATTTAAGCAACTCTCAGTAAACCTCGCTTGACTCCTTGATCCACCCAAGCAGTTAACTTTGTCAACACACAGAGTGATCCAGGGGCACAGAAGACTTCCATGTTGTTGGCCCTTTTCATTTCTGCCAGTATGTAGAAGAACTCTATAGTAAGTTTATTCCTGTATGATTCACGTTGCTATAAGGATCAGGTATATAGCAGAACAAATGGAAAAGATAAATGGTTTGAGGAAGTAAAATATCTCAGAGAAGAAAAAAAGAGAGTCTTGTAATATCATCTGCTATGTACTTGATCATTTCCTAGACATTTGCCTTTTCACTTCCAGAATTACTTTTAATTAAGCTTATGTTCAAGAGTTTGTCTCATAATTTGCTTTTTTCTTTTGATGTTTGTGTCTAAAACATGTCAAAACCTACGGGGAGGATGAGTGTTTAGGTAATACTAGTTACCGAGTGACCAAGGCTAATCATTACACCTACAATTACACCTTAGATATTGCTTCAAGAACTGGATCCTGGCGATGGTATTGTAATGGCATTCGATAATGTCCTGCAGAAGCTGCTGGAGGAATATGGTAGTGATGACACCAGGAATGTGAAGGAAACCACCGAGTACTTAAAAACATCATGGATCAACCTCAAACAAAGGTAACACTAAGGGTCTGGCAGGTAAATGCATGTAGAGGTGAGAATTTAGTTGCTTTGGCTTTCTCATGGAAACATGCCAAATATGGGACTACTAGAAGTATATCTTATTACTTTTAACAAATTTTTGTACTGTGCCGAGTTACTATTTTCACACTTAGTACAGAAGGTATATTTATACATTATCTACTTGAATTTCTGCAATGGGGTTCTCCTTGAGTGAGGCTAAACCTTGCCATAGATCATTTTATGTGCTCTGATTTTCCTTGGCCTCCCAGCATTACCTGGAATACATCCTGTAGTACTCTGGTGGTAAGGACCAGTTCGGTATTTACAGATGCATTAGGGTAATATCACCCCTAATTGTAATTAGAATAGTGCACTCTTTGGCCAGGTCATCCTCAGTTGAGGCTGAGAACACACGGATCCAACACCAGGCTTCTGAAACATGCTATGTATATTTAGGGCTTCAGCTAATCTATTTTCATTCCATTACTCTGTCAAGCCAGTATATTTGGAACAATCTAAAATAGCATATGTGTTTATAAGAGAGATTTTCCTGTCAGTTGAACACCTAGGGTCTGAGGAACTGTAAGCAGTGGTTAGAGTCTCTTTAAGATAGCATACTTATATTGATCATCAGGAAAAAGCATTTACTTCCTGCATGGTACTGGGAATGCCTGTGTCTAATAAAATTATGCTCTCACACACATCTTTATATATTCAAATACAACCAACTGCCTGAAAGCTAATTTGTATCAAAACACATTTTATTTTGCAGTGAGTAAAATGGATGATATTAGAACACCTTATGATACAAGTTATTGGTAATAAAGTATGGCCAAGCATTTAATAACAGTTTGACGTGGAGGTGTTTTATGCATTTTTACAATGTCATTTTTGGAGTCTTCAAAGTAGATTTTTAGGAAACTCAAAGTAAAGAATTAAAAGGCAGTATATGAGTGTGAATATATATGTTGCTACGCATACCTAGGATTCTGGAGGAAATAAGACTAAGATAGCAGATACAAAACTTCAGAGTAGTTAAAGCCGAAGATAGCTATAACGCTGCCCTTTCTAGCATTTTAGTACATCTGTTGTCTTTTGTTGTAATTGGTTACTTGGATATAGTAAGGATCCCAAAAGTAGGGCAGGGAAGAGGGTGAATTAAAAACAACTATAGGATAAATAAGTCCTGGGGACTGCATGGCATCCATAGTTAACCATACTGTATATTCAAATATTATTCGAATGTATATTCGAATGTTATGTATGTTTGCATATTACCAAGTAGGTTTTAAGAGTTCTCAGCACAAGAACAAAAAAATGTGTAACCCTGTGTGGTGATAGATGTTAATTAAATTTACTGTGTTAATCATTTTGCAATATATACTTGCATCAAATTACTATGGTTTATACCTTAGGGTGCTTTCCTAAAACTAACGCAATATGATATGTCAATTATATCTCAATTTAAAAACCCAGCTTTAACACTAAGATAGTCCTTAAGCATACTTTATCTGTGTGTCTCCAAAAATCCATATGTAAGAATTATGACTTTGTTTTTGTTGTAAACGATACCAAAAACACTGATCACTTAGGAATGTGAAGCCTGCTTTATTTAGCACCTCCAATTCTTTTTTTTTTTTTTTTTGCTTTTACTTTGTAAATATTTTAAGACAGCCTACAGCAGTAGTTAGATTAGATGGAAGAGGCAATTAAAAATGAATTATATTCCAAGGTGATCTTTCATTTATCAGAGCTAAGACAAGCACAGTGTTCCAATTTTATGGTAGTTACAAGTCATTGTCCTTATTGTATTTTCTTACTGCATTTTGGAGGGAAATACATCAATATTAATATTTAGACACGATTTAGGTATATTACTATCTATAAAGCAGGGAAAATACAACAAAACTGTAGCTCACAGGATCCTTTCCTGAGTGACAGCTGGGGTTTCTATGTATTTCTAGAATTTTCCCTTCTAAACAGTGATACTTACAGTTTTTAACTGTTTTAATTGGAGACCTTTCTAGAATATACAAATCTTTCCTTGCCTTAAACAAAATATATAAACTTACAACAAACATTTTAAAAAAATCCTTGGCGTTCTTACTGTGATAGGTAGAATTAAAGAACTTTAAGGGCTATATACAATCTTACAGTTCATTTAAGCCAGTGTTTCTCGATGCTTTTATATTATCAACTCTCAGAGAGCCTTGTGAGATCCCCACTCCCATGAAATTTTAATACCATGGGTATACTGTATATCTCTTTCTGTACTTTATAGTTGTGCTTTATACATAAAAAGGGTACATTTTTCCACTCCCCTCCCTGCCCCTGCCCCACCAAAGAACCACTTTTCACCTCCACTGAGAATGTGTGGTCCAGTGTAATGCTCTCAGGCTCTGAGAAGTTAAATGACATGTTCAGAGTCACATGGCAGAGCCAAGATGATAATTTTCTATACTAAGGTATGATAATGCTCTTCATGCTCTGAGTTCTGAAGAGTTGGTAGTAAATTTATTCAGGCTACTGTACTTTGTAAGATCTTCTGCTTTATTTTTAGTGTATAAATTTTATTGGGTGTCTTCCCATTGTCAGGATCTGTGCTAATCTGTTCACATGCATTATCTTATTTAATCTGCAAGCCACAGGAGACAGGCTGCGTTTTCATCAATGCCATGTCGATGAATAGACTGAAGCAGAGGAAAGTTAAGGAACACCCGAGATCACACAGCTCTTAAAAGCAGAACTGAGACTGGTATCCAGACCTTTTTGACTGTGCAGTCAGTCTTACCTTCTTTAAGAATAATTTTGTTCATCTTCCTTGTTATAGGAATGTCAGCTATTGCTATGACTGCTCTGTGTACCCGCCTCTCGGATCTGTCTGTGATTCCACTTACTGTTTCTTATCTGTGTTGAGTTTAGAAACCAGATCTGATTAACGATACAGGGGCCTCTGCCAATGAATAATGTAACACTCTCCAGTATGTGGCCATTGTGCCCTCTGCAGTGGTCGCTGAGAGGGTTTATACAAGGGCTCTCCTCTTATCTCAAAGCCATACTCTGTATATGCGTCATTGTCAGCCAAATTCGGGGAGGGAGGTGAGGGGTTATTATACTTGCTCATGGAATACTGTCATTGTGGCATAATGTGTGAGGTTTAATATCAGCTTTCAAAGGAAATGTTTTGTATGAATTGCAATTGGCCTAAGTAATTTGGCCATCACAGTTATAGGGCCTCAGTCCCTTATCTACGATGCCAAAATGCAATATGCTCTGATAACAGAAAGCTTTGAATTGACATGAGGCTGTTTGTTATAGCCTTTATTTGTCCTGCTTAGTATAAATAGCCTTGTTCCTAGCTGCAGAAATATTAATGTGTTTGCTGCCTCAGACCCTACTTGGGGGTAATATGTCATACAGATACATTCATAATAATAATTTTTTATTGTACAGAAAATTCTTAATTCTGAAACACAGCTAGCTCCCACTGTGTTGGATTCTGCAAACAACAGGCCTGTTTCTAATGTCTTTAACTAACGGACATGGATTGATCACTGCTCTTTTCATCTGTGAAATTGTTTTCCTCTTATATCTCTTAATGGCAATTAACAAATTTTTTTTTAGTGTAAGTTGAGATTATAGTGTGAGTTGAAATGTGCTCATAGTAACTTTTGAACTGTGGATGTCTGATTTGGGTCTGAAATGGTGTTTAGCCCTAGAGTGCCTATGTATATGTATATGTGTATATATATATGCATGTATATGTGTATGTATATGTACACATATACTTGCCTACATGCATACCCATACACACACCTAGCGATCTACGTTGAAATATTGTAAAGGAAATGAGACAATATCCTTTTGTGCTATAAGGACCATCTTATACATCATTAATCACGATGTGCTGGGAAGATGGAAGATTCTGTGCAATGAGCCTACTCTCTTTGTGATCCATGAATATGCCATCAGTGAGGTTGGAGGTGGGACTGAGAGATTTGGAGAGGACCACAGGTAATGTCAGTATCTGGGTTGGGTGGGGCAGAGAGCTTCCTGTGGGAACTTTAGTATTGCTGGGCAGAGATGACTGCCTGTTTGTGGTTGGTCGTAATAAATGTAAAGGGAAGATAGCCCTGTTACCCTGTTCTTTAGCACTGCTCATGTACTCAGAGGCAAGTAGAAGGAATGCAGGTGGTACATAGGTTGCAGGGGAGAGGGAGGGGCTTGTAAAGTAGTGAGATGGAGATTGCTCTCAGTCCATAATCACGGGTAAGATGTCTCTTTCGCTGGGTGGTACAGTCCCCCACTAGAGCCTGTGGCTCAGCAGGCAGATCTTAAATTGAATTTCAGACACTACTTACCTGTTGAGGTAGGGAGCAACCCTTTTAACCAGTATGCAGTGACCATGGGCCTGGAGGTCATTATATGAACATAATGGGTAAATGCCTTGTGCTTTGAAAGAGTAAGGTTTTGCCTGGAAGATGAGAGAAACAGTATTTTCCTGGAAGTGGCAATGGAAAGCAAGGAAGAGGACCCTTATTCCAATTACTCACCCTGAGGCATATAGGATCTGTGAGGAGAAAGAAAAAAATGCCATTAAAATTTTCCAGAGGAACTGATGTTCCTAAGGAAGCCAATTTCCCTTAAGATGAAGGGGTTGATCTGTGGTCTGCTGATCATAGAAGAGATTTCTGGACACAATAGAAGAAGGGTTTTGGGGGTGAGTTGGGGTTGACTGGGGAAGGTGCAGAGTAGTATTGGAGTTAAGTCCTATATTGGCTGGGTAATGAAGACTGGATATTTGGTAGTGATTTAGCTAAAAGGGAAACAGGATGTGGTGATATAAATTCTGTCACAGAAATAGTTCTGTGGTCTTAGCTATTTACTTGTTGGCTGCAGCAGCCCTAGGGAGAGCAACTCCTTTGGGTTGTACAAGGTCAATGGCAGGCATCATCGAGTGGGGGTGGGGCCAGTGGGGGCTCCTTTCTTGAGCT